GGGCCCAGACACTGCGGGGATGGGGCATCGCCTACCAGGAGCTGAGGTTGGGGTTCTCGTGTCAGACGCCAGGCCACACTCCACTGCTCACGTCTCTGACTGCACGAGACCTGTGAAGTGGCTCCCGTCATCACCCCTTTTCAAACTGCCACAGGGTGTGTACACCCACCAGAGAGAGATCGAGACACGGGACGGGGTGCGGGAGGGCGGGGGAAGGCCTCTCAGTGGGGCCGGTCGCACTGCAATCCCGTCTCCTCCACTTCTCCATCCTGTCGGGAATCTGAGCACGCACACGCACATGCTGGTGTGCTTTCCAAGCTGCCAGCGCCCGGCCTTGAATCACGGCCTTGCGGGTTCCGGTTTCCCTACTCTCTAGGCCATGGGGCCAGCCCACCATTAATATTATTATCCCACTTTCCCGATGAGGACACGGGCTCGGGGTCCTCATGGCTGCGGGCACTAGGAAGTCAGGGCCAAAATCAGCCTCAATTCACATGTGTTTTGACCCCAAAGGGGAGCTGGAGACCACGGGTTCTAAATGGTGGTGCACACAGTGAAGGGTGTTGGAGCAGAGGTCCCAGGGGACTTCCTGGGGAAGAGGACCGCAGCGTGCACAGAGCCTTCATGACAGATTTCCTCCCTCCAGACCGTGGAAGGGCACTGCCAGGAACCTGGGCCTGGACGGCCACCGCCCCAACCCTCTGAACCTGAGGCACCTCAGGCACCTGAGAGACTCCAGGGGAATCCGCCCTGCCTCCTGCCCCACCCTCCAGGGCTGTCTGCATGCCAGGGCGGGGCTGGCCCTGTGCCCACACACCTCCCCTCTTCTGCAGGCCCTGGGAGGACAAGTCCAGAGCCAGGGTTAGCGTGGGGTTCGCATACCTTAGGGTGGGGGAGGGTTGGCACACAAGCCACGGGTTACTCAAGGCAGCGCCAGCTGGGACCACAGGTCAGCAACAGCGGCCTGGATGAGGAGACTCCGACAACGCCTGCAGGACTTGGTGTCCACACAGGGAGAAGGGGCGAGTGCGAATAAACAGCAAAGGCGACATTCACGGTGGTGCTGCAGGAAACTGTGACACCCTGCAAGGCTGACCCACGCGGGAGGTGGGGTTCATGTCTGAGACCTTCAGAGTGCACCAGGCACGTGTCCCTGATCTGGGACTGGCTGAGGCCAGGGGAAGGTCACATCATCCAGACCCCATGGCGGGCTGTCTCTCTCTCTCTCTAAGCATGTCTTGCTCAGAGAAGAAATAAATAAATTTGAAAGTTTTACTTTTTTTTTATTTAAAAGGCTGACATTTATGAAGATGGCACATCTTCAGGGCTTCCTTCCAAGCACTTTTAATTCTTACCTTTAATTATTTCATCACTCTCAGGTGGAGCCTGAGAGGGAAACTGAGGCCTCAAGTCCCTGTCCAGGGCTCATGGCACGTAACCATGGCACTGGGGCTGGTGCTGGCAGTGGGCTGCACTCCCAGCTCCTCTGTTTTGCCAAGACTCTCTCCACGAAGAACTCGCTGGGTCCTCGGAAAGAAGAGACCCTTGCAGGCCACTGTTGTCACCCCTGGCCTCCCTGGTCTGGAGGAGCAGGTGTCATCAGAAAAAGCTCCACCGAAACCTCCCCCTGAAGTGGACTCGGTGCGGCGGACGCAGGGGTACCAGCGTCTCTCTGCGGCCAGTGATGGCCGGCGGGGCCCACCGGTTATGTTCAGGGCCTTTCCCAGAGTCCTGACAAGGAAAACCAAATGACCCACAGGACCCCTTTCATCACTAACAGCCGGGTTGCACGGTCGGGGGTGGAGGAAGGGCAGAAAAATCACTTTTTCCCCACTTTGAGCTAATCACACAGCTCAGCCCCCAGCCTGTCGGCGTCGGGAAAGCTGTGCTCGAGCATAACTAATTGGCAACAGACCAGAAGCCCCCCACCTCGAAAATATAAACATGTGTTATCCCAGAGAATCACCCCTCGGAACAGGTACTCCAGACGTGCTCGGCGCAGCCACTGCGCGGCCGGCGTCTCACACGGATGAGGCCACAGGGCCTGTGCCAGGTGGGCCTCTGTGGTCAGGCGGTCAGGGGGCAATGGCCCCAGCCAGCCAGCCTGGCCAAGTGGCCATCTGCTTCCCTGCGGCCCCACACCAGGCCCCTGCTCCCGGTGCAGCATTGGCTCCGGGGAGGGGCCGTGCCGATCTGCAGACACTAGTGGGTGGAATCTGTCCCCTCCCTCAGCTCCGGGGGTGAGCTCTGATTGGTTCAACCCTGCAGCGTCATCCAGGCTATTTCAGAGATACAACCCCACAGGAGGCACGCGGCAAGGCAAAAAGAAGGCCCTGCCCAATTTAGAGAAATCGAGGTTCAGAGAGGGAAAGTGACCTCAGAGTCACACAGCGAAGAGGCCGGGGATCTAGGGTTGAATCTAGGTCTGTAGGACTGAGGCGTTTGCAACACTTCCAAGAGGCAGCATGAGTTCTGCAGGGAACCAGAAGAGCCGTGGTCCAGCCCAGTTCTGCCACTGACTGCCTGTGTGGTCTGGGGCAAGTTACTTCACCTCTCTGTTCCCCGGCTTCCATCGCTGCTCCGCTTGCGGCATCAGAGGGGCAAGTGAATTATCAGCGGCTCGTGTAAAGTGTGTGGTATGATTGCCTGTCACAGGTGAGGACAGCCCCTACCCGCCATGCTGCCTTCCACACGGGGGGAGACCCAGCCTGAGTGACGATGGGGGCCGGCAGGGAGGGAGGGAAGGTCGATCTGTCAGGTCTTTATCCCCGTGCTATGCGCTGCTTTCCATGGGACAGCTATGAGGCATGGGTCCTGCTACCAGGAAGAGGCACGGCCTTGTGAACACACAGCCTAGTCTAGGCTCTGGAATCTCCCAGTAATGGCAGCGGGCCTGGCTTTGGTGGAGGTCGAGACCTACAGGAAATTCCAGCCAGTTAAGTGACAAAAGGGAAGACATGTGACAACTGCCACGTGGTGGGTGCGTGTGAATGGCACAGCCACAGGGAAACAGCAGAGTAGACTTTAACGCTCCAGATGTGCACACCTGTGTGTGTGTGCGCACACCTGCACTCATGAGAGACAGAAAGTGAGAAAGTGTGTCCATGCCACAGTCCCTTCACCTCCATTCTCTTCCTGGGATTTTGGGCACACACATGCGCCCAACGTGAGTTTCAAGTCGCTTGGTCCAGGACTTGAATCACAATCAGCCACATGGGACTCCAGCACCTTAACCATCAGGCTGCCTGCTGGCCCCAGTGTTTGTGCTTTATAAATGAAGAGAGAGTGTTAGATGGGAGGGCAGTGGGACAGCCAAGGTCCTGTCTCAGTGTGTCCTGACGGGACTGTGATTAACGCCATTCTATTTTCTTGAGGTCCGGTTTCAAAAGTCTTGAGAAAAGCTTTCTGGACCTTAATTTGGGGGTGAGGGATTTAACGGGGGCTTGAGCAAGTGGAGTTGAAATCCTTGGACCATTTCCTCGGCTGTGAACTGGGCACGAGACTGCCTGCCCAGGTGGCCAGGGCGGATGGGAGGGAGCTTCTCCGCACGCATCTGGCGGGCGGG